TTATTTATAACATTACATTATTTGCTATTTATAATATTACATTACTTGTTATTTACAAGATTTCATTATTTGTTATTTATAAGATTGAATTAGTTATTATTTATAAGATTACATTATATTTTATCACATAAAATTCGTGTATGGCGCTTTACAAATTACACAAATACAGTTCACTACCTTCATATGTTTTCAGTGTGACCACTGTTTTATTTCTTTTCTTAATTTGTAAAGACAAACTTCCAACTTCTAGGTTGTTTACTTCTAGTAGCTCCCAACGTTTATTTATAAACTAAGCACAGTAATTTTGTAATATCGAGAAACAACGTATTTATACAAGTGTACCAGTTTATCGGGGTCCTGCTGAGATCAGTTTATTGTTCTGTTAATGTTACAGTTACTCTAATATATGACGGAGTAATATTATTTATACATGATAGTTGAAAATATTTTGGCATCTAAAGATTTAGATTTAGCCATTTTCCATTACATTCAGTAAATAAATGAGATGTCATGAGTAAATCTCAGTGTAAGATAATCTGAGAACTCCAAACTCTGTAATAATATTATTATTCTCTGTATTAGTATCTGTGTGTAATAAAATTCATTTTGGTGTTAAATAGTGAACGTAATGGAAATGATTCCTGGTTTCTATAAAGCTACACAATTTCTAACAAAAGGAAATATTTTAAAACATATCAAATTCCAGAATAAATTAAACATAAAGTATAATTGAAAACCTGTGAATTTTAACACAAAATAACAATACACAGTTGGTTATATTTCCACACAGTTCACACAGCAAAAAAATAATAATACGCACTTGACTATATATATATTCACACAGCAAAAATAATAACACGTTCTTGGCTATATATATTCACACAGCAAAAATAATAACACATTCTTGGCTATATATATTCACACAGCAAAAATAATAACACATTCTTGGCTATATATTCACGCAGTTTACACAGCAAAAAATAATAATACGTAGTTGGCTATATATATTCACACAGTAAAAATAATAATACATTTTTGGCTATATATATTCACGCAGTTTACACAGCAAAAAATAGTAATAAGTACATGGGTATATATATATCCACACAGCTTTGCTATGGGCCCCCTAGTGGCACAGCGGTATGTCTGCGGACTTACAACGCTAGAAACCGGATTTCGATACCCGTGGTGGGCAGAGCACAGATAGCCCTTGTGTAGCTTTGTGCATAATTAAAAACAAACAAACAAGCTTTGCTATGGATTTATTTTTATCAAGAACGAAAGTCCACGGATATTTAACATATAAATTGATTGAAAATGAAATTGTCAATATGAACAATACCTTATGCGCAAGTGGACTGAACGACCAGGTTAGACCCGCAGGGTCCAGCCTTCCTATTTGGAACTATAACCATCTAACAGCACCTGCCTCTACAATAGTTTGGCTGACTCTTTGACCGAATAACGCGCTTTAGCTGAAATTCATTTCTTGAACCTCAGACATTACGAACGTAGCCCGACATGTTAACCACGCTTTAAGATGAAGTAACATAAAGCGAAATAAAACATGGCGGTGACAGAACTTATGTCTTCATTACTTTATGAGTTTCTACAAGGCATTGAAAAGGTTCACAATATCTATAAACATTAGACAAACGACAGATAGCTGATAGTTGGACGTTAAAATATTTTAGCTTCAAATTTCTGGATTTAATCTTTTAGGCAACTTTCAATACTTTTTTTTTTATAGAAACTCATCAAATGTACAAATTTTCACCATCAAATGTATCATGTAGATCAAATTGGCCATTTTTTTTGATAAAACAAATTCAAATCTACAATTCAATGAATTAAAGTTTCACAAAAGACACGGCATTTCTTCCATAATTTTGTTCGTTGTCAGACTCAGTTGTACCAACTTTGCTTTTTAAAATTCCTATCCTTTCTTATAAATCTGAAAGCTTATAAAGCTAAAAATTGTGGTTCGATACCCATGGTGGGCTGAGTACAGATAGTACATTTTGTAGCTTTGAGCTTAACGAAAAACAAACCGTCTTATTGAATTGTGCACATCAGCTCCTTTGCGTTTTTATTACAGTTTGTAATTATCAATGATTTTACATCAGCATACCTTTGTGTTTTTATTACAGTTTGTAATTATCAATGATTTTACATCAGCATACCTTTGTGTTTTTATTACAGTTTGTAATTATCAATGATTTTACATCAGTATACCTATATATTTATATTTGTCTGAAAATGAACAATTAATATTATTGCACAAAATGAATCAAGTATAAATGTTATAAGCCGATAGTATTTAAATCGTATTTTGATCTTAGCCTAGTAGAAAAGTTTGATATTTTAGGATTTTACTTTTCACATATAATCTAAAAAAATATCAATTTGTGAAATTGTACAACCAACGTATAGCTCGATGGTAAGAATAGCATTGGAATTATTTTATAACATACTGTATTTCTGCTGGCAATGCTCGTTAAAGTTAATACTTCTTTCTTTTTACAGTAAGTTTGAAGGCTTATAATGCTAAAAACTAGGTTTCGATACTCTTGGTGGGCACAGCACAGATAGCCAATGGTATAGCTTTATGTTAATAACAAACAAATCAACCTTTCCTTGTAAATCCACAGTCCATATAATATATTGTCACAGGAACACAGTAGTCTAAAACAAAACTTGCTTTAATCTATGTTTATTCCTTTCATATGTTGGTATACTTTGGTGACAGATTTTCTTGTAGGCAGATTTTGTTAAACAGGACCGATGTCTGTAGGTTTACTTTCT